CTATTGCTTCGTATTCTTATCTAGCTACATCTAGTTTATTTTCTAATCGGTTGTATAATTCTATTACTTCGTATTCTGCTGCCTCTTCTACTGAACCCTCTATTTGTATTATATAAAATTTATAGCGTTTATTGTAACATTTTTTTTTTTAATTAAAACCTCTTTCTGTCTCTGTAGCTTTACAACTCTTCGTGGGTCTTCGGTGCCTGTAGTACTTGCCTTCGATATGTTTCGGTAAAATATATTTTCTCGCCAGTTGTGTATCATTTTATTTTCCTTTAATTTAAAATTTTGGTGACCATTGTACATATAACTTCTCATTGAAAAGAGAAATTTCACAAGAGCAAACTGGATTTACCAAAGGTAGAGGCACTCGAGAACACCTGCTGAATATAAGACAGATAATCGAGAAATCTAGGGAATTCAACATCCCACTATACATCTGTTTTATATATTACCGTAAAGCGTTCGACAGGGTCAAGTGGAGACACTTACGGCGAATACTAAAAGAAGTAGGCGTACCTCAACATCTAATTACGCTTATAACCGAACTATATGAACACACTACTGGATCAGTTAAAGTACTTGACACACTTTCGAATGAATTTCATCCAGAACGAGGTGTCAGACAAGGATGTATACTATCTCCACAATTATTCAACATATATGGGGAGTATATTATGCGAAGAGCACTTGAAGGATGGGAAAAGGGCATCTCAATAAATGGTCATAAACTAAACAACCTACGTTTCGCAGATGACACAGCCCTTCTTGCAAATAGTCAAGCAGAGCCGATAGAACTTATACGACTGATCGAAATCGAAAGTCAAATATTTGGTCTGCAATTAAACATATCAAAGACAAAGATCATGATAGTGGATAGACTACACAACAATCATCCACACATAACCACAATTGACCGGTTCGAGGTTGTGAGCTTATACTTATATCTGAGATCATTAATCACAAACACAGGGTCATTACAAGAAGAGATTAAACGTAGATGTGATCTAGCAAAAGTTACCACAGCAAAAATGACCAAAATATGGAAGGACTGTCAAATTTCAAGAGCGATAAAGATGAGGTTGATCAACTGCTTAATATTCCCAATACTGACCTTCTGATGTGAATCTTGGACTCTGAGACAATCGGAAAATAGAAAGATAGACGCCACTGAAATGTTCTGTTGGAGACGAATGTTACGAATTCCTTGGACCGACCGTAGAACAAATAATTCAATTTTAAGAGAGCTAAAAGTTAGCCAACGACTCTCTAGTAAAGTCCATCTCCAACAATTAAAATATTTTGGGCATGTTATGAGAGCAAACACAGAAAACATGGAAAGACGCATAATACAAGGAAAGGTAGAAGGCCGAAGATCACGAGTAAGATCCCCAACAAGATGGATAGATCAAATTACAGGAATATGCCAAAAACCTATGCATGAATTAAAAGAAATGACCAGAGACAGAGATCTCTGGAGACGGACAATACATCACACACATCACGTCGACCACTACACTCCCCCTGGGGGGTCAGGATTGAAGAGAGAGAGTACATATAACTATTCGTAAACTGTTTTTATTACATACTTCAGTTCCCCTTGCCATTAGTTGTGTCTAGGTATGATTATGTAAAGCGTCACAACCCACAAACGCCCATAATTTGACCTCATTTCTAAGTGTGTTGTTGCAATGGCCGCTTATATCAATTTAATAAGGTATGTGAAAAACCAAAGTATGGGGTAAAGCTTTTGAATTTTTTAACGGTTATGACCATAAAAATATCTGCTCGTCGGGTTCTCCAAAATTATTAAAATTTGTACGGTCGTACGATCGAATCGTAAATTTGTACTTGCATAAGTCATAGCCGTTTAGATAGCCCAACAACTCTAACTTTAATTATTTGTTTGCTATTTCATCTAAACACGATATGAATAAGGTTCTTTCTTTTATTCATAGGGTTTTTCAATTCCCGGCTAATTACGAAGCCGGCATGCTTTAATTGAGTACCGATTTGCATTTCCGTACTTTTACCGAAAAGAAGAGAAAAAATAGAGGGTTATGTACCCTAATTTTTTGGTCGGCTACTGAACACCTTTTTTTTCTGCAAAGGTATCTTCAAACAGATGCCGTAGTAAGGCCGAGATAAACATTTCTGACAGTGCTGGGTTCCTAAAACTAACAACCCCTTCAGAATCACGTCGACCAGCTTCGCCCTGAGTCGGATCACCCTGCTCTCCGCAACTCCGGTGTGGCCGGGATAAGCTAAATCTCACCCTTTCATACTAAAGCAACGGATTGGGATTGTCCGTTAAAATATAACTTCTCGGCGATTCTCAATCGCTCGTCATTACACATCGGCTTTATCACTCACACTCATGCAACCACCACGTCCGCCTCTGTATTAACAGATTTTTTTCTTCGCTTTCCTTCCTACGAATACACAAATACCTTCCGACCGTCATTATTTCAACCTCTTTGTGGCCCTGCCTCCAAAAGGACTGTATCTGTGTCGACCTTGTGGACTATCACAGGTTGCATTCCTCTGCATGTTTTAGCACTAAAAAGGAGAAATCTCCATGAAAGAATAAAGCATTTGACAACACCCAAAAAAAAAAGAGAAAGATCAATGGAAAGATATCAAGAAGAGTGGAACAACACAGAAGATGTTGCCCAGTGGACTAAGCTGCTGATCCCGAGCCTAAGGGACTGGGTGTACTGTGGTCACAGGCGACTAGACTACTTCTTGACGCAAGTACTCACAAAACTTAAGTGTTTTGGGCGTATCTTCATAGGTTCAGAAAGACAGATACAGACAAATGCCTATACTGCGAATACTCCAACACTGTTACTCATAAAATGTTGGATTGTAATAGTTGGACAGTGGAGAGCAAGAGAATGTATGGAGAAATAGGTATGAACCCCTTAACTGTGAAAGAAATGATCGTGAATATGACGGGAAGTAAGGAGGGATGGAGTAGTGTACGCAATTATATTCGAGCAGTCATTAAAAATAAAGAACAGAAACACCAGCCGGACCAATCACAAAGATAAGATTTAGATAAGAGAGGAGGGTGCTCCAATACTGCTGTCAGCCTTACAGTGGCAATCCCACTTTCGGAGCACGGTACGTGTGACAGTCAACTGCGCACAAGTAGGAGGGTGTGGTTTTAGTTAGTAGGCAGAACAAGAGGAAGGCGTCCATTTACAGCACCTCCTTCTAGGGGAAAATGGGCTCAGATGTACTCACATGATCCAACACACGTCAGCCATCCCTGGTGATGAGTTAACCTGGTGCGGTGTTTAGAAAATTTAACCCTCAGCAGAGAAAAAAAAGTAGAAGTACGAGCCCCGAGATTTTCCAAGGATCCGGAAACAAAACGTTTTTACCAAGGAACCGCGGAAGATAAATTTAAAAAAACGCTGAAAAAGTTGTAGATGTAATTTTCAAAGGTGAAGTTAGAAAAAATTGATTATATATTGCAAGCGGCAATAGGAAAAATCGGCCATCCACTCTTTCCTCACTTCGGATCTCTTAACGGTTTTGAACCTTCAATCGAATAATGAAAACCGTGCAGGCATAGGCTGCATGATGCTAAACTTTTTGTATCATCTAATTTTTTATGTAAAACAGTCTTGTATATTTCTATTTTTTATTTCTTTCGCTATAAAGGAAATAATAAATATAGTAGATTCATTAATTAAATAAAATTAACACAAAATCAGGTATGCTATCATAAGCCCACGCAACCACGTCCTCCTGGTCTGGTACTATGTATTTCAGGTTTCCTTGTACATCTTCATTACAAACCAGTTAGCGTCTAATTATTATTGTTTACTTTTGCTATTAAGATTTTCTTGAGTTTTATATTTCCAATTCCACGAGGAAACTAAGTTCCTGTAGCTGGCTGTATACCATATATCACAAAAAAATTTTTGTTTATAATCCTTTATAAAAGGTATATAAATTTTTTTTTTTTTTTTATATACCTTTTATAAAGGATTTCAAACAAAAATTTGTTTTATATTTCCCTTTAGTATCCTGCTGGAACTAAGTGCCTTTTGCATGTGGTGCTCTTCCAATCTTAGTTCCAGCTTTTAATGCATACCCAAAAACTAGTATTGAGGCACTAGTATTTTAGTTTTTCTCGTACATATATCTAATTAGCAAACTTGTTTAGTAATTAAACTTGAGAAGTCGCTGGTTTAAATTATATTGAATAAATAATTATAACGAAAAAATGTGATATTGGTTGGTACATAAAATTAGCGAAAATAGCAACTATAAATGATGAATAAGTTATAAAATCAACTGGTTTACTCATTATCGTTGTTTTGTACAAAGAACAGACTTACCCTTTGAAGATATTGATGCCGTCTTAACAGAAATGAGGAGTTGGTCGTGATACCGACGCTAGCGTCGCCGTCCCGAGGCTTAGCACGAGAACCGTCCGGAACTAGATGCGTGTCGATCGATCGTTGTCTGACGAAGAAGTGGCAAAAGTGTCCGTCTTGAGATCGCTACCAGGGCAAAACCGCCCTCTGATCGTTGGGTGGTCAACAGATGCAAGTGCCATAAATCAACCACTTGTTTCAATCTTTTTTGACATAGAATACAAAGAAAAAGCCCAATCCTGCGTACGTTAACATGAGTATGATGCTAATTGAGTTTTACGAACTCACAGGAAATAATATATTTTAAAAGATTGAAAAACAGCACCCAAATTAGGTCATATTACAGTACCGTAACAGGAAAAATATTAACAGTAAAAATATGAAATGAATGCGCGCATACTTTCTCAAACAAAACTTTTAGCTTTCTTTGTTAAAGTTGGACTATTTTATACATCTTTTTTCTCCCTCTTTGTCTTATTATCTATATTTTTTAAATGCTTCAGCTGCAGCTAAATTGGTTTTATTTTTTAGCTTTACTCCCAAAATTTTTTGTAGTTTTTCTCTTTGGCTATTGTAAGTTTTAGGAAGAATAAAACAAAAATAAAAAGGAAATAGTTTTATTTTTAAATACTTAATAATTAGATCTACCTAATAATAAATTGGCAAGTAACAAAAATTATAACTGGTCTAAATACTGTTCTTGAAAAGTATGAAAAGATCACAGCAATCTTAAAATTAATTCCATGAGATAAAATTCTTAAACTCTTTTCTTCTCGTAACTCTGAAACAAAAAAATTTTAATTAAAAAGGATAAAAACGAAATTTTTATACAATATTTGGTAAAAACTTATTAATAAGCATAATAGGACATAACGACAATACATAGGGATTTATTTAAATACTAAATTTAAAAAGACAAAAGCAAGTCGATATCTTCTCCTAGCTCCTTTGTCATTCATGTTTTAATTCCTTCCATGTTCATCTCTTCAGTTTGTTGGTGCCCATTACCATTTCTTACTTTAATTATTGTGTTCGTCAAATTTCGTCTGTTTTCATAAAAGTTATCTGAGTAGTAATCTTTATACATTTTAAAGATATTTATTTATTTTCAACGCATTTTTCTTATCACCTTTACTTATTTTTTCTTGTCCCAATTCATAGATATTATAATACACCAGAACTTATACTCTGTAATTTGCTATGTATTTTTCGTTTATTTCATTTCCGAATTTTTTCTAGCTTTTTATTTTGCTGTTTTTTTCATGTGTTACAATATTTTATGGATTCTAATGTTCTGTCCTTTATCTTGTTGGTTTTTCGTGCTGTTATATTTTTTTAAAGCAATGTCTTTGCTTTTCATTTCTTTATTTTTTTTAATCCATTCTTCACAGCTAACTTAGCCGTTTTTCGTACTGCTGGCGTCATTCTTTTTATCATTGAAGGAGTTTTTATACAAACTTCTCAGTCACTTCGCTTCTTTGATACGTATTATGGCCTCTTTGATAAATTATTTCTGATACCTCCCGTTAAAATAGGTAAAATTCCCTCACTTCCATAATTCAATTTTTTCATTTTTGTTTACATTTTAGGTATACAATTTTTTCGTTTTAATTTTTTTTAGGTGAGATGCAATTTAAAAATTTCAAAAAAATCACATGCCATATACGACTGCTTTTATATGAAAGCAACATACAAAAACAGTCGTATATTCATGAAATACACTTTAATGATTAATACTAACTATAGTGTATTTTTATGTATGAGAGAGTAATAAAACAATAAATTATGTATGCAAATCCCTAAACTGTTGATACGGGTGACTCAATGAAAAACAGATATTTGTCAACAAATTTACAGAAGTATATAGGAAAACAATTTTAAATTGAGTATGACCACCAGGTATAAAGGTTGGAGCAGAATAGAATACAATAGTTGTGAGGGTTACTAATCCCTAAATAAGGTTGTCAGTGTCGGAGTGATGGAGGTTAACAGGTACTAATGAATTTGCAAGAAATGTAAGATGTTTATTTTATTGGTTATATATAACCAATTAAAGTTTAATAAGTACCTACCTATTTGCAAAATAAAGTTTAATTCTTTAGATAAAATAAAACGTTTTATTTTATCTGAAATGAGTGCATTCCACGAAGTAAGGGTTACAATAATCAAACATTTAATTCTTTAATTCCAGGAATCTACGACAGTAATTGACTAGATAATTACCTTCTAAACTTATTCCACAAAAAATGTGATAGTGGGTTTTTCCATTTTGTAGAAAGGTCCAAGTGGCGTATTCAAAATTCTTAACAGTTCACTAAAAGTAGGTACTTCAGTTGCAAGGTGCAGTTTATTGTGTATACTAGTGTTATGGAAAATTTGGAAGTGCCGTGTAAACGCCGAAAAAATTGGTCCTTTAACAGTTAATGAAAAAACATTAATATTTAATTGTTTTAAATCATTTACAGACAAACGTTTATGTGAAAGTGTTGATGAGACCGTTGAGTTAGTTAGCAGTACACTTGGTGTTGGGAAATCTACGATTTACAGAGTTATTAAAGAAGAGAAATGTGGTAGTTTTCAAATGCCACGTAATGCTCCAGGGAAACCAAAATTTCAAATAGAATATCATTTTAAAGAAGGACTTCGACGGAAAGTGCATGAATTCTTCTTTAGACAAGAATTTCCAACATTGGATAAAGTTCTTGTCTCAGTTCGAGATGATAAGGATTACCCAGAAATGAGTCGAAGTACGTTATGGAAACTTTTAAAAGAAATAGGCTTCCGCAGGAAAAAGAATCCCAGAAAGTCTATTTTATTAGAAAGAAGCGATATTGTCATATGGAGAAGACATTTTCTAAGAACCATACAGGAAATGAGAAACCAAAAAAGAAAAATATTTTATCTTGATGAAACATGGATCAACGAGGGTCATACACCAAATAAATTTTGGCAGGATGAAACTGTTACAAGTCAAAGGCACGCTTTTGTAAATAAATTATCTACTGGTTTAAACCCACCATCAGGAAAGGGACGCAGGCTGATAATAGTACACATTGGCAGTTCAGACGGTTTTGTTGAAGGTGGTTTATTAACTTTTGAATCAACTCGTACCGGTGACTACCATGAAGACATGAACGCTGATGTCTTTCAAGAATGGTTCGAACAAATGATAGATCTTCTTCCTAAGAACTGTGTAATAGTAATGGATAATGCAAGTTATCACTCCAGACCTATAGAAGGACTGCCCACAACCAAGTGGTTAAAAAAAGACTTGCAGAATTGGCTGAGTTCAAAAAATATTACGTACCATCCCGGATGTATAAGAAAGGAACTTTATTCGTTGTGTGCCCTTCATAAAGAAAAATTTAAAAAATACGAAATTGATGAAATTGCTAAAAATCGTGGAATGACAGTACTTAGATCCCCACCATATCATTGTGAATTAAACCCGATTGAACTGGTATGGGCACAGATAAAGAGTGAAGTTTCAAGAAAAAATACCACTTTTAAAATTCATGATGTTAAACAGTTGTTTTTGGAGGCCGTAAATAATGTAAAACCTGAAAACTGGGAAAAGGCAGTAAATCACACTATTAAAGAAGAGGAAAAAATGTGGAAGCTGGACAATATTACTGATATAATGATCGAGCCAGTTACTATAAATCTTGGTTCTGAAAGTTCATCCTCTGAATCTGATTTGGATTTGTAACAAGTAGCTGTAAGTTTTATATTAACATTTTTATTCATCTATTTAACATACCTTAGACGGTTTTAAAAACTCTTTCTCTTTTGTAATTTTTAAAAATAAAAAAAAATATGAATTTTTAAAACCCTTTTTAATGTAGGCCAGTCAGTTCTATTATAGTGTGTGATAAAAGAGGTCACTTTTGTTTACATATACATAACACTGTATAACACTGAAATAATTCATTTATTTTTTACAATTATTCAAAGTAATTTTTCAATTAATCTTGAGCACGCCCATGGAGTGGTCGGAGGTACCAGTTAAAATTATGCTAATTACTCTCTCGTTCATAAAAATAAACTATAACTATCCTTACCTCTTTGGCTATGTTTTCTAAATTCTTTGCGGTAGAAGGTCCAGTTGCGTCGACCAAATTATGAAGCACACCATGCACGTTTTGTAAAAGAAGATACGGATGATTGAATTCCTCCACTCTGCCGGAATTCATAACCAATATTTTGTCAGAATCCATGACCGTGTGCAACCTTAAAAATAAAATAACGCTATTAAAATGTAAATCTTTATGACCCTTCCTCGATACGACCGAAAAAAGACGGTCTATACAAGAATAATGTTGAAATTATACAAAATACAGTATTAAGAATCTAAAAGAGCTTTTCATACCTGCCCAACTGTAAACCTACAATTTTTAACGGGATGAACCACATTTAAAATTCAGAAGAATGTACCTTTCGTTAGCTTATGTTTCAAGCCTTTAAACAATAAAATCGCATTCCTTTCTTTATCATATCATTAGGGAGCGTTTGAGTATTTAAGTATTAAAAATATGGAAAGACTTTTACCAAAAATAAATTTATAAAACACAAAATGAAAGCAGAACACATTCAAGACAATTAAACGATAATCTAGATATATGATAACAAGTAGAGGTAGCAGTACGAACCATGGAAGTATGAAAACCTTGAAGAGAAGATGACTTAGCTATGAAAAGGATAAAATGGCTAGGCGAGAAAGGAATCGAATCAACTATACTAAAAGACGTATTGGAGATTAGAGACGATCTCTACAAGTTAGGAAAACAATTTAATAATAGCCATTGCGATCAATATATAGTACGAGTTTAGACACCACCGAGTGTGGACGCCGCATTTAATTAGATAAGAGTACTAACTCTCGCTTATTTATGTTGTAGGTAATACTTTGGTTGCCACCAAGCAATCATCATCATCATCTTGATGCTACAGCCCTTAGAGGGCCTCGACCTTCTCAAGCTTTCTACGCCATTCTGTTCTGTCCCTTGCTTGAATTTTCCAGTTGCCGACTCCGATCTTCTCCGCATCTTGTGTTACCCCGTCCATCCACCTCAGCTTTGGTCTACCCCGTCGTCTAATTCCCACAGGTTGCGCTGTTAGAATCTTTTTTATCATGTTCGATTCAGGGGCCCGGGCTACATGTCCTGCCCACTGCAGGCGGTTTCGCTTAATTATAGTGGTAATATCTTTACCACCAAACGTATGCTTGTAGATATTCTGCAGTTCGAAGTTATATCTACGCCTCCATATTCCGTTCTCACAGACCGCTCCAAATATCTTGCGTAGCACCTTTCTTTCAAAAATGGATAGAGCAGATTCATCTGTTTTCGTTAGCTTCCATGCCTCTGATCCGTATGTGAGAACGGGGACTATTAGTGTTCTATACAGCCTTATACGAGTTTTTTGAGACAGACGTTTGTTAGCTAAGTACTTTGATAGACCATAATAACACCTGTTTACAATTATTATTCGCCTTTTTATTTCCTCAGATGTATTATTATTGGGGTTAACCGATGTCCCTAGATATATGAACTCATTGACTGCTTCGAAGTTTTGGTCATTGATGATTAAATTTGTGTCAACATTTCCAGCTCTTGTGTTTGTGTTAGTCGCCATGAATTTGGTTTTATTTTGATTTATATGTAACCCCATTCGTTCTGCTGCTGCTACTAGCTCGGTTAGGATTTCCGCAGTTCTCGCCCTAGTTCTTGTTATAATGTCCACGTCGTCTGCATATGCTAGAATTTGGACTGATCTATTAAATATTGTTCCCCTGCTATCTAAATTAGCGTCTCGTACAACTTTTTCTAAGGCGACATTAAAAAGCTGACACGCCAGCGCATCTCCCTGCCTTAACCCCCTATGTATTTGAAATGGGGTTGACGAGTCGTTTTGAATTTTTACTGTTGATAGCATCTTCGCCATTGTCACTTTTATCAAACATATGAGTTTTTTTGGAATTCCTAACTCATTCATAGCGTTGTAAAGACTTGGTCTTAAGACACTGTCATATGCCGCTTTAAAATCGACAAAAATATGATACATATCTATGTTAAACTCTTGCGCTTTTTCGAGGATCTGTCGTAGTGTAAAGATCTGGTTAATGGTTGAACGTCCAGGCCTGAATCCTGCCTGATATTCCCCTAGAAACATTTCAGTATAAGGTTTTAATCTCTCGTGCAAAATATTTGATAATATCTTGTATGCTGTATTTGGGAGAGTTATTCCGCGGTAATTATTGCATTCCAGTTGGTTTCCCTTTTTGTGTAACGGGCAAATTAAGCCTAAGCTCCATTCTTCTGGCATTTGCTCCTCAGACCAAATTCTACAAACAATTTCTCGCATCACCTTGGTGAGCTGCTCTCCAGCGTGCTTAAATAACTCTGCTGGGATGCCATCGCTACCTGGGGACCTATGGTTCCTTAGTTTTTCTATAGATATTTTTACTTCATCTACCGAGGGGGTTTCCACGAGTTCCTCATTTCGGTATTCCAGCTCTATATTGTTAGTAGGTTCCCCTTCCAGCAACTCTCGATAGTGCTCTACCCATCGTAAAAGGATTTCCTCTTTGTTGGTAAGTAAGTTGCCTTCCTTATCATTACAATAGTTGATTCTTGGTTTGAATTCTTTTCTAATACTATTTATTTGATGGTAGAACTTTCTTGTTTCTCCGTGACTCATATGGCTTTCGAGCCGTTCTAACATGTCATTTTCCGAGTCTCGTTTCTTTTTTCGGTGTATGCGTTTTTCCTCTCTCCTTAAGTTTTTGTATCTATCTATTGTTGTTCTAGGTTTTCGTTGTTGCATGGTCCTAAATGCCTCGTTCTTCTCATCTGTTATTTTTTTGCAGTCTTGGTCGAACCAGTCGTTTCTTTCTTGGGTTCGGGATATTCCCAATGTGCTTTCGGCTGCTAATTTCAGAGCCTCCTTGCAGTTGTTCCACATTTCCGTGCTTGACTGGTCGACTGCCCAGGTGTGTTCTAGGGTTTCTTTTATATGTGACTGGAACTGTTTTTCCTTGTTTTCATTTTTTAGCATATGTAAATTATATTTTACTTGTCTAGTGCCCCTTTCTTTCTTGGCATTGGAAATTCTTTGTCGTAACTTGGCCCCTACCATAAAATGATCTGAGTCAATATTTGCTCCTCTGTAACTTCTTATGTCCATTAGGTTTGTAAAGTGCCTTCTGTCAATTATAACATGGTCGATTTGATTTGTGGTGTGTCCATTTGGTGATATCCAAGTGGCTTTATGGATATTCTTGTGATTAAAACATGTACTTTCCACAATTAAATCTTTGGAAGCTGCCAGACTAATAAGCCTTAAACCATTGTCATTAGTAACGTCGTGAAGGCTATGTTTACCAATATAATCTTGGTAGCATATCTCTTTTCCTATCTGGGTGTTCATGTCTCCAATGATTATTTTAATATCGTTTTTGGCACAGTTATCATATGCTCTTTCGAGATCTTCGTAAAATAGGTCTTTAATTTCTTCGTCTTTTTCCTCGGTTGGCGCGTGCACGTTGATCAGTCATATGTTGAAAAATTTTCCTTTTATTCGAAGGATGCATAACCGATCATTTATGGCTTTAAAACCAATAATAAAATTTTTGATTCTCTTTGATACTAGGAACGCGGTTCCGAACTCATGTCGGTTCGGGTTGCAGCTGTAATATATATCATGTTCTTTTTTCTGCCACCAAGCAATGAAAATGAGAAAATCAACGAATCGAAGAAGAGGCAAACGAATCGAAGAGGAGGCAAACGAAATAGAAGAATACGGAAGGTAGAGAAGAATTAGAAAAGAATGGAAGAAAGTGGAAAAATGTATAAACGATAAACTAGAATCACAGTCTGAGACCTTAAAGAGTATGGGGAGCGGGAGAAGAAATATTGTCGAGTAATAAACATTATTATGACGAGAGGGAGAAATGAAAATTACTGTAATAAACAAAGAAAAATAAGTAGAAACTTACTTTGTTTTGAAACTACTTAATTTCTTAAAAGTATCTATTTACCTGTGGGCAATTGTCAGCACCGTACAATCCGCAAACTTATCCCTTATGGTTTTCTGAATCAAAGAATCGGTGTGTGGATCCACATTCGCGGTAGCTTCGTCCATGACCAAAATCTTATTATTTCTAATAAGAGCTCTAGCAAGACAAACCAGTTGTCTCTGGCCAACACTAAAGTTATTTCCTCCTTCTGTGACTTCTGTATTGAGACCTGCTGGAAGTTCTGATATCACATCTTTCAGTTCAACTTGATCTAAGGCGTTCCATAATACGTCATCGCTGTAGTTTTCGAATGGGTCCAAGTTTTCACGCATTTTACCTAAAAGAGTAATAATTATTAATAATAAATTAACTAATGGTGTCAGAACACAATGATTTAATGATAGTTTGACACCACTGCTGCTATATTGGCTTAAAATATTCGTTGTAATAATAAATTTTTTCTCATATTGTCTTTTATCCGCTTTAAATGCTTTTGTCTTGTTTTCATTCTTTTATCTTGTGGTCTTTGAATGAATTTATGGTTTTGTTCTTAAGTCTTTGTTCATTGTGGTTTTCAGCTATTGAACTATTGAGTAACGTGGTAATTACTGTATATTCAAGAGGTTGGTATTACTAACATAGAACAACCTGTCCAAAGCCTGGGTCTTAATACTATTAAACATCTTTGATATCAGCATAAGTGGTTTCCAGTTAAAACACATGAAATAAATCTTCAATCACACGTGAAAACTCTCATTGAGATATAGACAACGTTTCCCCAAAAAGGTAGGCAGAACATTCTGATTTAACACTTTCGCTGCGGAGCTTTTTTTCCAGAACGTTAGTCTATGCGGAATGAATTTTTTTGATAACATATGCAATACACAGATAACACCAAATGGCGTTATCTGCACAGGCCGAGAACCAGAAAGCCGTCAAATGCTGACTTCCGCAGCAAAAGTGTAAATGCTAATTTGGATGAGAAATATCATTAGGAATCGATATGAAAAAGCGTTAATGCTAATTCTGATGAAAAGTATCATAAGGAATTGATATGACTTTTTCAATGTGATACTCCTAATTTTTCTAACTGGTAAGCAGGTTTTGTCTGTTTTCAATAAAATTGATAGTGTGTAAAATAATTTATTAATTAAGGTGAGTATACTTTCGACATAATAAATGTCATCATCAGAGCTATCCTAAAATAACGTTAAGTTAAGTAAATTTTTTATATAAAATACAATGACAGAAAAAACTTACGTCAATTAGGCAATAAATACTTCATAGAAGGAAAATTGTGGACAAACGACATATTAAAAAACAAAGATCGGGCTCTGTAGGCCACAGGTCTTGGGTCTAACCCTTATACATATGCATGGCCTGGAACCCATCGAGCAAAAAGATAAAAGAGGGAATGTAAAGGTAGTGGGGACAAAAATATTGTTAGACAGGAGAAGTGCTATCTTGAGAGGCCACTTTAAACAAGGAAAGACAGTCTCTTTCCTTGTTTAAGAAGTCAAATTTAGTTTGGTTATGTTATTGTTTGTCCCAACTGTCACATGAAATTTTATTTATATTGAAGTTTTTTACCAATTATGTCACTTTTTAGACTATTATCGTTGATATTTAATTAAAACTTTCTTGTCTGAAAAATATTTTACAGGTATTGTTAACAAGTGTTGGAAAATTTAAATTTAGCGCCTTTGCATTTCCGGATATGTCCGCCATCAGAGGCCACTTTTTTGGTCTCCTTTTCATAACGATTAGATTCCCTCTTTTATCTTTTTGCTCGATGCTTTGACCCCAGCGAGTTAATAAAGAGAAATGACAGCCTATCTCTCTCACGAAGACTTTAACCAATCATAAACCAAATAAAATAATCAAACGAAGCAATGTCAATTCTGTCAATCCAAATTAATGACAGATCTTCCGTTTGTTTACAAGTTTTCAATTTTATTTTATTATCTTTAACTTTCGTTTGCATTTATTCTTAGTAATTTTAATTTAAATTTGGTTACTTAATTTTTAAAGTTTATTTTGAGTTACCTATTGTAGCAAAGAATTTTTGTGTTGTGCTAGTAACAAAACTAAACATGGTGAATTATTGTATTGTTCGGTTGTGTACAAATCATGGAAAAATTACAAAAAGAATGATAGTAAGTTGTCAGGAAGCAAAAAATAATAGTATTTAACTTCTGCAAATATGTGTAATAAATATTATGTAATTATTTTATAACTGTTTATCTTAAACAACAAATAAATATAGATACGTATATCTAGAAAAAATTGTGCATCTTATATTCTTATGACCTTATTTTCCAATAAATTTTAATTAGTAACGAAATAGCCCACAAGAGGCGCTAAAGGGTATGTATGTAAGGGGTGTTCATTCGAATTTGCCGCCAAAAGATGATTAGTATTGACCCCAGCCGCAAGGGGCCTAATGAACGAAATTTATACATTGAGTTGCCTATCTATTTCTACTATTATATTATTTATCTATACTTCATCTAATTTAGATAACGACTTACGTCATTATCTACGTCAGAGATCGAAGTTGACATAGTTGCCAAAGTATAAAAAAATCCTGACTCCATTTTAAATCAAATAGGTCACATAATTATTACAAAAGTATTACCATCTCTTTACAACGACTATTTAACTTCTTACGTGACATTTTTGAAATAAAACACACTAATTTTGTTCTAAAAAGAACAGATTTTATTAAATAGGTAAAAATATACAACAAGAGGTATTCACTTTAAAATTCAAATTAATAAAGTACAAAAAGTGTCAACACCGCAACTGTCAAATAAGTGTTACCAATTTATGCCAAAATTTTACCTTCGTTCGATTACAGTTACAGTGTGTTCCGAACAAATGTTCTTAATAAAAACTCTTTATAATGGATTTATACAAATTAAATGAAACATATTATTGTGTATTTCTTTAAGTTAACATTAATAGAAATTTTTAAATATTATTTCTACGCGTATATAACAAAATATGCCTAGTGGCTGTAATGCCAGTGTACTCGGTAAAGTGATTCTAAAAAGAACACACCTAAACCCTAAATATTTCGTGTTGGTATTATATGACGTCACAGGCTATGACGCCGATGACGTGCATCGTTATATAAATTAGATGAAGTGTATGTACATATGTATAATTCACATCAAAAATTTTATAAAACCTGGTTACCACATACCCAGGTCAGTAGATATTTAAGTAGGTTGCCTCGTAACTATGTGGGCGAAGCGAGGGGAAGGCAGAATGCCTACGTCACTCATACGACAAACGTCAAATTTGACAGTTGTCTGCACGTCTGAGTTTAAGTTCACGTTTGTGTTTGTATTCGTATATTTTTTTGCAGAATTTTCGTATAGTATCATTAGTTCGTTTATTTGTTTAGTTATTGTTTAGTTTTTATTTTTAAGTATAGGTATAAGGACAGTATTATTTATAGAGACTTATTATTTAGTTATTTGTGTACATAAACACTTGTGAAGTGTGTTGTAGCTGTGATATCAAGGTTTGTCTAACAATTATATGTAGTTTTGTACGTTATAATAATGAAATATTTTTTAGATGAATGACCTATAGCCTGAAGGTTTGTGCTTGACTAATCATTTTTTGTATTTTAATCTAATAATAAATTATTTATATTACCTATTTGTTTTTTTTCCTATCAATAGATATGATAAGAATGCTGCAAATTCCAGGAAAAACATAAGTAAGTTCCTACATATTTAGTATTTTTGCTTTTGAACTTTTTCTACTGTTTTTTTTTGGATTTTTGTGCGAAATAAACTGTTATCTTCATTTAAAACACACAATATTATCAATATAATCAATTCTATTTTTTGTCATCAGACTATTGATTTAAATAAAAAAAAAATTGATATCGACGGTCCCATTCTAATACCCCGTATCTACAAAAAAATCAAATTTTAGGTTTTCGCGCCATAATGATAAAGAAGGAATGTTCTATCTGTTAAGAAAATCCCGAATCTGAAATAAAATTGCAAGGTCTTCGAATCTCATGTTTCCAATATGCTGTATCTACTACAGCCATTTGGCGCCGTGTAATAACCCGTATCCTATTAGTTTCTTATGCATGTTGTTAGGTTAGGGTCAAATTGGTGTAAAAACGTGATTTTTCCTTGACGATGGCATCATTTATGGTAAGTAACTGCTTTTTGTTTGTTTTTAAAGGTGATTTAATGCAAAAGCACCAAGAAATTATTTAATACTAATAAGAAAATATAACATTTCTTCAATTAAAGATGATACAGGTTATTACTTAAACCCCTTTATAAATAATTGTGTGTTACAGGTTATTTATATGCTGTTTTTTATTTTCAGAATCAAAGCATATCTCGTGAAAAAAATTTAATTATGATGACTATGACCACTGAAACTTTAGAAAGTAATGAACAAGATGTTTTATCTATAAATTACAACATTAACTGCAATCTACAAAACGATAGTGAACAAGACAGAAACACATCTTTTCATACATACCCTAATAAATCATTAGATAATCCGACAAATAGTAATAATAATAGTCATATGGATTACTTGGTTTTACATGTTCAAGATGATTTTTGTCAGAAATCAGAAGTCAGAAATATTTAATAAAAAAAGAAGAAAAGGGTTCAACCCAGGAAATTGGAAAAGAAGTGTGACAAAAAATAAAAGAATGTGCGGCGAACAATACATCGGCTATCAAAGATGCAGTACTAGATGACGTCAAAGTAGGAATGTTAAGACCGCAAAGAGAATTATCACAAGGATCTGGAAGACAAGGCACTTATTACTACCATTTAAGGAATAACGACAATGTCAAATTCAGAGCATGCATAAAGATGTATTTGAGTACACTTGGTCTCAAAGAAGATATGGTACACGATTCGTTAAAAGGAATGGAACACGGGTTTAATTCATTCTCGTCTACCGTTAGCCAAAGATGCATTTCAAATAGTAACAAATTAAAACGAGAAAATTTAATTGAATTTTTTAACAACTTAGCGAAGGTGCCTTTTCACTATTGTAGACAAGAAACCTCAAAGTTGTATTTGGAGCAGTTCTTTCAGACCAAAGAGGATATAATATATCGAGAGTATAGAAAATATTGCGAAGATAACATGAAAGTTAATTTGATAGTCAGCAATACATTAATTGATAACATTTTTTCTGACATGAATATCTCACTGTACAAACCACGTAAAGATCGATGCAATATCTTGAGAAAAAATGCAGCAAGAAAAGAAAAAGACGCAGAGAAGCAACTAGCCATTCAAGGTTCTATCTACTCTGTTTGCATGGACATGCAATCAGTTAAAATATGGTCAGTTATTAACGCAAATAAGCTGTATCACAAAACAACACTAGCTGTTCATAATTTTACAATTTATAATTTGGCATCGCGCGAATGTACAAATTACTGGTGGGATGAGTCAGAAGGTGATTTATCTGCTTCCAGCTTTACAACTTTTATATTAAACTTTATTCAAGAGTAGTGCGTCAAAGACATACCGATAGTTTTATATTCTGATGGATGATGTTACCAAAATAGGAATTGTGTGCTGTCTAACGCCTTGCCAAATTATTCAATTTAGAAAGGTTTCACGATAGAGCAAAAATATTTAGAAAAAGGGCACACTCAAATGGAGTGTAACTCTGTCCACTCCGATATAGAACGAAGATTGAAAAACTCTTTGTACTGCCAAGTGATTATGTACGACTCACAAAAGAATCAAGGAAAAACCCAGTGCCCTTAGAAGCCCTCTTTGTAACTCATGAGTTTTTCAAGGATTTCTTAAAATCATGGATTTACAAGAGCATTCGTCCAGTCAAGAAATCAAATGATCCCACTGTCATGGATTTGAGACACTTAAAATATGACCACCACGAAAACAATATTTAATATTAGATTGATTTTAGTCATGAACTACAACCACTACCAGCCAGATCTCCAAAGTATCCCAAAAGTTTTATCTATGACTCACTACATACAGATCGACTTCGCTTCAAACAAAAAAAGTGGCAACATTTGCAAGAAATGAAGTCTGTTTTACCTCGGGATTGTCATGCATTTTACGACAATTTACCCCACTCCCCATAAATTTGGAAATAGTTCAGTTTAAAAGTATTATTAGATATTAATTTTTTATTTAACCGGTTCAATTTTTCTTTTACTCATTATAGTTTCACTGTGGCATTTTTATATTATTATTAATATTATTTTTATCAATAATTAAAAACATTGTTTATTTATTTGTTAGTTTATTTATCAGTTTCAGCCCCATTATCAAACATCTATCATTTCAGTAAGTTCATAATACTACCCATTTAACCAATTTCAATTGATCACTGCAACAGCCTGTATCTTATTTTTTTGTACCTAATCACTTTCAATAGCCTGTATCTGCTGTATAATAATAAATATATAAAAAAAATGAACAACAAAGGATGGTTGACCTTCAGTACAACACAAATAAGTAAAATTAAAAATTATTTTGAATTTGGACCTGTATTAACTTGTAGAAACAGAAAAATGTTTCTCCTGTAAACTTACGGTTAACTCACTTACGGGGTATTAGAATGAGACCGTCGATATAATTACTAATATAAGAACCACTTAACATCCCTATACCCAAGAAAATCCCAAAATATATTGCAAAACCTAAGTTTTTGAAACTTTTATTAGCATTGAAGCTTATGGCAATTTTAAAAGTGTCGTATGGGTGACGTATTCCCGCCTTTAAAAAGCGAGCATTTGATTGGTCTATAGTTACGAGGCAACCTACTTAAATATCTACTGACCTTGACCACATACAGCAACGACAACAGCTGTTTTTGACTTACATTTTTGAAGTAAAATGAAAAAGGAAGCTCGGATATACGGAAATAAATCCGAGAGCGACCTCTGTATTTAAAATTATTAATTGAAAATTGAAAATGTCTAAACTGACGTCTGAATGTTATTGATTATTACTTTTAGTTACTATAGAATTTTAAATTCAAATATTTTAAATTGATAAGTTAACGTGAAGATTTAAAATATACATTTATCAATATTATAAAAAAACAAAACTTTAAAGTTTGACCAAGTAGAAGAAAAGTAGATGAAAACCAACCAAGGAGAAGTATCATTTGCTAAGTTAAGAGTTCAATAGCTATTATTGATTATCAATATTATTACTAAAATAAATAATGAAGAAGAAAATATCAAACATTCTCTACTTAGATGAAATCAATGAAAGAAAATTTAAAGAAATTCTCTCTTTTAAATCTCTTTTAAAATAAAGGTCAAAGCTTGATCAAATGATGGTTAATTTTATACTAAATGTATTATTAAAGAAACTTCTTAAAGATTGGATCAAACTTACAATTTAAGTTAATTTGAGTGTTGACACAGTTCTGAGGATTCCTTTTCATTTCTCTACTGATTTCAAGATCTTCTAGTAAATTCATTTTTATATAATTATTATTGGGTATTTTGTGTAGGATCTTGCTATCTCTATGAGGACTAAAGCCATGCTTTGAAGCATGTATATGATTCCCAAAACTAGATTTATCAATCTTAGACAGATGTTCTTTAATGCGTATATCCAAAAGTCGTTTAGACCTATTTAGAAGTGTGTACAACTCTTACAGTCTATTTCAACTCCTAATTTTTGACTATTTCTGCATGTCTCTAAGGTAGTTACATTAATTGTTCTGAATTATTTTGGCAACTTTAAAAACAATTATTAGTAGAAAAAAGAAATAATTATGAGAGAAATGTTGGACATAAAATAAAAAAGCTGTTACCTGAGAAAAGAACTGGTTCTTGTGGTATGATCGAAATATTCGTCCTAACCAAATCCAACGGTATTTGCGTCGTATCTACACCATCGATAACAACAGTTCCTTCGAGTGGATACAGTTGAAACAGAGCAGTTATGGTTGACGATTTACCAGCGCCAGTCCTTCCAACTATGCCAATCTTCTCTTTGGGCTGTACTGTAAAGTTCAGTCCCTTAAGTACAGGCGGATCCTCTGGACTGTATCGTAAACTAACATCTTTGAATTCAACAAGACCCTTCTCCGGCCATGGTTGGGGAATATTTTTAGGCTCTTTTCGTTCGGGTTCTGTTTCTAAACGAGTGTATTCCAGAATTCTTTCCACTGACGTCATGTTGTTTTCTAGTTCGGTCCATTGTCGCATTCCCCACTGGAGTGAGCCCATTAGACCCAGGTACTGAGTGATGACTAAACCTAAGTCACCTCCATGGATTGCTAAAAAACATTTTGTGTTAAATTATATTATCAACAAAATGACGCAAAGTGTATTTTAAATTTTTTTATACGACTGAATTAATTACCACCATTAAAAAAAAAAGAAAGAATAGTACATTGTAAAGTGACAATAGAAATGGGACAAGATACCACTGTCGGTGATACCGAATCTTAGAAAATGAATGAACTGTGGCACCGGCGTTTGGATTACTTCCTGACGCAGATGCTGAAATGGTTGTTTCAGGACACATCTTTATAGGTTCTGAAACGCAAAAAATGACAAATATTTGTACTGTGAAATATCTGGACACTGTCTCAAACACTTTTGATATGTGATAGATGGTAGCTGGAAGGAGTCTGCTTGAAATAGATGGGAGACAGGCTATAGTCAATTACGGAACTGCTGGAGGAGATGTTAACAATGCCGGCCAGGTTCAGAGATATGTGAAGAGGACGTTACAGAGAAAAGAACAGGAAGTGAGGAACTACACCGGAGATACAGTGCCCGAGCGCAATTAGGAAGGGAAAAATAGTAAAATATATCGAAATCGAATATGAATATGGAGAGATAGAGGACATTGATTAAGTATTCTCCAGCGAAAATGCATTAGAATCCAGAGCGGCTTGGAGAATAATTCATGGTTAAGAGTATTTTAAGTAAGTAGGTCTCTGGTATTGGCGGTGATGGAGTCTGAACAGACGGATCTGCAGACTCGGGTATCATCGTAGTCACGGAGAAGGAATCCTGTATAACCAAGAATGGGAGGCGAAATCATTTTTTTTATAAAAGTGTATATATTAGTCAAAAAATTTGAATAACTTCTAATTATTCGGTAATAAAAGAACATCTTTTATCAACTGAATATTTAATGAAACAAGGTTAACTGTAAAAAATATGCAGTAGAATTTTTTATTTTAGTGTAACACGTTACCTTAATACAATTTAATATTTTTACTGGGACTAAAACATAATTTTTGTTTAAAATAAGTTTATTTTGATGTTTTGATTTCCACTTTGGAAATTTTTTTGAATAAGCAATCATATAATACCCGGAATTAAGCAAAAACATATTAAGGAGAATGTTAAAAACGAAAATGGAGAACTGATAATAAATTTCTGCACGAATAACGAAATTAAAATAAACAACATTTTTTGACCACAAATATACATTCAATAACACCCGTGGACAAATATCTATGACAGATTACGTTTTAACCAACAGAGATATACCTTTGTCAAAAATAAGTGACGTAAGATGCCTCAACTCAGCTGATGTAGGTAGTAACCACAGCCTCGTATCATGTAAAATAAGAATCATCCTGAAATACTTCACACCCAAGAGAGCGGCGCCCACATAAACAAAAATCAGAGTCGAAAGGCTAAACTACGGAATCCACGGAAAACTTTTACAGAAAAAGAATATCAGAGAAGATTGCTAGGAATGAAATGTAGAAAATGATAACATCGGGAAAGCTGGGAAAATTCAAAAATAACATAAATAATGCAATGCAATTACTGCTATTTGATTAATTATATTTAAACAACGGATACAACGAACAAACAATTAATAAATAAATAATAATTAATAAAATAAACAATAATTAATAAAATGCTAAATTAAAAACTACACAAAAAAGCCCTGAAATTAGTATTTTCACCACCAGAGAAAAAAACCCAGTACCTTCTGCTCGATTACATATACAGGCAAAATAACAACAAAAATTGCCAAACACAGATAAAAGAAAGGAATAACACCAGCTTTCCGAACAAATAACAACCTAGGCAAATATATTAAAAATAACAAGAGCCAAAATAAAAAACACGTAAATAGTGGTGTGTACAAACTTCAATGTGGCGACTGCCCAAAAACTTACATCGATCAAACTGGTAGAAACTTTGATAAACGAATTGCAGAACATAAAAGGGCTTTCAAGAATAGAAAAGCAGATTCGACATTCGCACTTCACCTTCTAGATCATAATCATTCTTTTAATGACAAATTTAAAATTCTTCACATTCAAAATAAAGGCCTTAAGCTATCTTTGTTAGAATCTATGGAAATCAACAAATTAAAAAACACAGATATAATTCTGAATGACCAACTTGAGACAAACAGTTCTCCCCTCCTCAATCTATTTCATTAGAGACTATTAATTTGTAAACCCAAGCCAAAAATAGATCACTTAAGAAAGGCAATCAGCCGAAACAGCTGTAGTCATAAGATTTAAAATAAATTTTGTGCAAGTTTGAAAACAAAGTTTTCAGTGTTTTATTGTTACATAAAATGAATTTCCATCAAGTAACGGTCGAATCCATCAATTATTTAGAAGGGTGAATAAATTGTAGATTGAGGATCAAAAACAAAAATTTGATTAAGAATTGTGCGAAACACAATAACAACAATACCAAAAAAATATCGTACAGAATTGTAAGAACATACATATCAAATAAACTATTACTTTATATTTGATCCCATTTAAAATAATTTTACAAGATGGTTGTTGTTCACAATTTCAAATAATGGTCACTAAAATATGGTAAACACAATGTACATTGTACATTTTACACAAAAAGTATTTACTTTATGTTTTATACTTAAAAAATAGAAGGGGTTGGGGCACACTTAAGATTCGCACTGTATAATAGCATGTATATACTTACTATCTCGGAACAACAAAAGCGAAAATACTGCTACAGCTATGAAAACGATACAGATGATATCTAACCAGAGTCCAAAGCATTTACTGGAAGCCAAATATAAGAACCAGGCTGCACTGTGATTGTCCTGGTAGTTGTCGAATTCTTCAGTTAACATTTTTTCAGCATGGAAAGCCCGGACTGTGCTCAATCCATTAACTGAGGCTGTGAGGTGAGTCAACATTGGACTTTTTGCTAAAATAAAAAAATATGTTTCAAAATATAAGTTTTATTAACTTCAATAATCTCCTGGGAGATCGTTTTAAATAAATATTGTAATTAATACACATTGAGCGTCTGTATAAGCACAGTTGCAACAGCCGCAAGAAAATAATTTTATGTTAACATTTATATTATATTTATACTTACTAATTGCTTCAACCCTTTTAACGTTTCTACTGGTTTCAGAATATACTATTTTCAGTAAATAGAAAATTATCATTAGCACCACTGCAGGTACAGTTAATAAGGGCTCTACTATTGCAGATAGTGTAATAGCTCCGAGAAGAAGTAATGCAATCTAAAAAAAAGATAAAAGATTCAGATATAAGTAACAACTTTAAAAATTTTGTTAAACATGTCATATTTTCGCTGTATGAATTCCTATCATTCTCTACCTCAATTTTAACATCATTACCCTACTACTACTCTACTAATTCTTCCTACTCACACTGCATCCCCATTCCTTTAGAAATATAGACAGTTTTAAAATGGCAAACGAAAAAAAACTCCCTCTTGGATGTTGACTATCGCTAGCAACAGATGCACTCTCTCGACTGTTGACTGCCACCAGAGAACTAACGAACACAGAGAAGCGACACTACCCCGAACAACGGGTACCGTTTTTGTATACGCATACCCGATCCTGGTTGCTTTACTGTCAAAAACACGTGTGCTTATTCTTCAACTCTGGTTGTTTTACGATAGTCCGTAGGCACCTGTGGTAAACACTCGACTATACAAGTGCATTTGACTATTTATCTAATTTACTTAGTAGTTACAAGTTTATAGTTATAGTTAAAATATATAAGTTTATAGTTAAAAATTTAATTTATATTTAAAATGTCTTCTGGTTATTGTTGTGCATATTCATCATCATCATTGTGGATGTTCATCTGTGACAGGAAAAGGAATAAGTTTATTTAGATATCCTAAGAATAATAACAGTCAATTACTATTGCTTTGCAATTATTATTAGTTATTAGAATGTTACGGGATACTCAAAATCCTTTTTCATCAAGTGCTGCTCAATTTAGACAGCAATTCCGCCTTAATAAACAAGCTGCAAATTATTTGATATTGATATTAGAACCATATTTGGAGGAAAGTGTTTATGCCTCTAGGAGACCCAAAATATTTAGGGTAAGTATTACTAAGCTGCAGTAAATTTAAAAATATATTAGAATATAAACACTAAGTCAAAAGCCACCATAATTTCTTTTTGGTCCACAGAGTGCCACCATCACCGATAGCCTCTCCATCCATTTTATTTCAATTCAAAATATAATAATTGAGAATGGCCACTAAAAATTTAACAACTCGAACAAGAAACAAAAGGCGTAACGTAAACAAAACAAACATTTAACAAGCGTTGTGCAGCGTGAGCCAATAAACAAGACAGCCAACCCAAATTCTGAGCAGTGTCAAAATGATAAAGTAAATATTCCCTCTTTTAACTAAAATCGAAATGAATGAGAATCGCTACAGATTGCGACTGTCATGGTGTAGTCGTTTTTAAATTTCGACATCAAAATGAAATACAATCAGGGCCCAGGAGTTATATATTTATTAAGCCTCATTAGCGTTATTCCTGTTCAGAGACGACGCAGTCGTATTCCACAAGCTGCTTTACCTAACCACAGTACTACTAGTGACAGTGGAAATGAAGATACAAACAAAGCCCGACATCAACAAGGTCCACATGTAGCTTCTTTTATGTATAAAATTCAACTACCGGGAAAAGATAAGTATTTGTGCCAAATCTCTTCGTAGTATTTTCGGTATTACTGAAATGCAAATCCGTCGAATTAGAAATAGCTTAGCAATGACTGGATGTTCTCCAAAAGATGCCCGGGGCAAGCATACAAATGGATCTAAGAAGTCATACCCTGCTGATATAGAAAACAAAACTTAATTTTTTTCATTCTAAGACCGTCAAAGTCATTATACATAAAGACTGGACAAAAAGAAAATGTATCTACCATCAGAGTTAAATGTAAAAATATGTACAAAGCCTTTAAAGAACTTCACCTACAGTCCAAGGTTTCTTACTTTGTTTATTATAACTGATTTCAAACTCGCATATCTTTTTCTTACCCCATTTGTAACACTTATTATGTGATGAAACTGAAACCCAACTCAAACTACCGAATATCGGTGAATCAGCAAAAAAGGAACTTTGAAAAATTAAGGCAAATATCGAGCACAAGTTTAATCAAATCTTGCCCTCGTCAAATTTGGGCTATCAACATGTAGAATGTAATACACATGAGAGTGGACATAAATTGTACATAACACTACATTAACACAAGGACAAACAGTTTAAAATTATTAAAATTATTCTAGCGCTCTACATTCTTGTCGGTAACCGAAGACAGAATGGAGAGACCAACTGTCGGCAACCGGAGAGACCATTCTCTCTCCGGTTGCCGACAAGAACGTAGAGCGTTCAAATAATTTAAATAATTTTAAACTGTTTGTCCTTGTGTTAATGTAGTGTTATGTACCATTTATGTCCACTCTCATGTGTATTACATTCTACGCTTGCTGGATAGCCCAAATTTGACGAAATGCCCCTGATGATGCTGTAGATAGCGAAAGTACTTGGACAAGATTTGATTAAACTTGTGCTCGATATTTGCCTTAATTTTTCAAAGTTCATTTATTCGAGCATTCAACCTCATATCAATTAAAAAAGGAACTGCTTCAAGTGAGAAACCTTCATCACGCTAAAGCAAAGGCATTTTATGATATAAAACAAAAAAAAAACAAAAATGTATCTGCAATAGCCTTCGACTTTATACAAAATCTTCCGCTACCCAATTTGAGTAAAAATAAAGTTTTCTACAGCAGACAAATTTGGTACTATGTATTTGGCAATCGGAGGCAATGATGTCTATATGGATACCTATCACGAAGGAATGGCTAAACGTGGTCAAATAAAGTAACATCCATGATAACTCATTATCTAAAAGATCATATACACAGCTAATCAAAATTTTGTTAAAATTGACAACAATTTTGTATAAAAATTGTTATTTCATTGAATTTTGCTGGTTTGCTAACATTATTGATCAGTATTCTTTGTTTATTTTTGTGCTACATGCTTGTTATTCTAAAGCTTAAAGATCTTGACAAAGTATCGATTAAACAGTAATAGTGACAGAATATAACCATTGACTATGTCAAGAATAAAAATCTTACGAAAATCCTCTATACAGTCGTTACAATGTGTTCAAACGTCATCAAAAAAAAGTCCAGTCTGCACAGTCTCGAGTCTCGGGAGAAGATTACACCAGACAGCACTAGCCCTTCCCAGTTCGAAGAAAATAGGGACTGTAATGTCCCTGCATTATTTAGCGGTACGCCGATACAATGTAACATAAAAATTAATTTGTTATTTTAATCCATATTTTTCAAATATAGTAGAAATAGCATTTCACACAATTATATATAAAGTAAAGAAGTAATATATGAAGACCATGTTGTTGTTGATGTCTCTTGTCTTCAACATAAGACGAGAACCAAACTTGCAAAATGGTTGATTATGAAACACTCCCATTAATAAATTTTGGCCGAAGAAACAGATATAAAGATATGGAGATAACTTACCTCAATCACATCAATGATAACAGAAGGCAAATATTCATCCACAGTTCCTAGATCCTTCGAAAATCTGTTTAGAATCCTTCCAGATGGATTTGTGTTGTAAAATCTCATCGTCGCTTTAATTAGTTTGTCGAATATATATTTATGGAGGTTCTTAGAAGCTATTACGAAGAAAACCATAAAGTACAATGCCTTGACTATCGATATGATTATGTTACCAACGATAAGGGCAGTGTAAGACCACATGATAAGATCCCTGTTGATAGTTTCATTGGGTGAGGTTAAATTCATGCTTTGCTTCTCGCTAAAATCTTGTTCTAAGTTCACCCTAAAAATAGAAATAAAATATAATAATCAGTAAATATTAACTGCCATGATATTAACATTAAAATAAAAGAAGTTTGGGAATATACGTGTAGAAGTTCTCCTTCTAATACTCGAAAAAGTCAAGTTTATTTAAAAAACGTATCTCAAATTTTCGTCACAGTGTGTCCTTCGTATAACAATATTTCATATGTATAATAAGTTTTTCTATCTCTTTGAAATTCTGCTATTTATTTCAGTTACTTTCTGGTAGTACTATCCCCCTTTCTCTTTAAATACCTAAAGTTCATTTCACGTAAAGTACGTGACAAACAAGTCTTGATATTTTTTGGAATATTTTTATTAGATTAAAGAGAAGAAGCAATTTTTTTTAAATCCACAAGGCAAATAATTCCTGCAGCTTGCTGTATACCACGTATCACAAAAAATAGGTTAAATCTTTGTAAATGGGTATATTTAAAAAACCCTTAAAGGGCTACATCAAATAACACGAACGTTTTCGGAATAATTATTCCATCATCAGGTTAAAAATGCCTAAAATAAGTATAAACCATTTAATTAAAGCAAACGTGGTTTAAAATGTTGACTAAGGTTAAAAAAGCAAAATGGTTATACTTACAGGTTAATATGCCTGAGCCACCAAAATATTAGGGTAAAAACCCTTTAAAATATTTCAGGTTAACAAAGATTGTACATAATGTTGTTATTAATATTTCATGTTAAATATTTAATTAAATTTTACTTTGGGTAACATACACCCATGCTTTAAGTGGGTTCCAGCGTCCGGAGAGTAAACCTCTTCAAACGAACTTCAGCTGGTACTGGTTACTTCAGAAAACGTTCGTGTTATTTGATGTAACCCTTTCAAGGGTTTTTTAAATATACCCATTTACAATTTATTTTGTTGGTAGTTTAGTTGGTAATTCCTTTTTGAAATAAAATTTACATACTTCACTATGAATGGCGTGTTTGGTTATATCATCCAATTTTATTTGTTTCCTTCCTCTTGTTTCAACCCTCAAAGTATTATTATCGTTTGTTTCATCGTACTTTAATGCTTTTGCACACACTAGCTGCACAGAAACAGCACATATACAGCGGAGCAGAAGGCAATAGGAAACCACTGCACTATTTTCCCAAGAGAATTTCTTTCCATAACGATGACAATTTCAGTAAGTGAAGATGGGATGGGTGCGACCCGACTCACGCTCGGTGCCATCTTGGTTTGGGGTCGGATGGTGTGAAACATGCTACCCTCTGCCAAGGTGTGAGGGATCAGGCACCTGGCAGAAGTTGTGGGACTGAATCTAAACTTTCACTCAATTTAAGAATATGTCAGCGAATTGATACATGAAACGTAAAGGGACTGATCCAAAATCCTGGAAAGTTACACATAATTAAAAAATAAATGACAGACGACAATCTTTCGGTACTAGGACTCTCAGAAACTCACTGAAGAGGTAAAGGGCATTTTAAAACAACTGCTGGCAACAGAGAACACCAGTACACATGAAGTCGCAATAATTGTACCCTCTAAACTAAACGACTGCGTAATTGGATATAATACTGTTGATGCAGGATAATATCCATTAAAATGAGAATATCCACCAATACCCTACACCTTGTCCAGATATACGCTCCTACAACAGCTGCAGAAGAAGACAACAGGTTCTATGGTCGTCTAGAAGAAACTGTTAGCGGTATTCCGAATCGTGAACTAATCATAATTTTAGAAGACTTTAACGCCAAAGTGGGTCATCTAATGAAAATATTAAAGAAGTGCTGCGAAGAAATGACAGAGAAATGAGAACGGCGACCGTCTATTGGAGTTCTGTATAGAACAACATCTTACAATTACAAACACGTTCTATCAACATCATTCACGGAGATTCCATCAAAAATCAATGACTTCCAACGTGGATATCCGATAATACGTGAACTATGAATCAACGCAGAAAAGAACATAAAACTAGATACGGAACAAACGATGAATACAGAGCGGTAATGAAAGAAATCAGAAAACAGTATCGCAAAGACAAAGCTAATTACATCTCACAAATATGCAGGGAGATAGAGGAACATGGCTGTCGTAATGAAACGACTGCTTAATTTCAGAAGATCAAACTCAATACCAGAGAATTTAAATCTCAAACGTGGTCTGTAATAGATAAGGAAGATAATCTAAAGAAGAAATATTGGTAACATGGCGAAACAACTGTGGCAAGCTATATAAAAATAACGAGGTACCAGCATAAAATCCATGGCCCTCTGACTACCCTAGAACAGTGGTCACCATTTATATTCCCTGAGGGTCCGTTTCGAAAACCTATTACATTTCTGTAGTCCGGATACTCAGCACTAAACCAGGCAGTGCCGTAACCGGAGAGTGGGTTACCTCGTTTAGGGAGGGGTATGAAATAAACTCAAGAAAAAAGATGAATATAAATCTATTATATTGTTTTTTCTCCCGTCTTTTCGTCCCGTTTTGTCATAGACTGGTTACTACGTACGTCATAAATATTCAAATTAAAATAATTTTAGTGTTCAGACAGCTCCCCCATGCTAAAAGATTATTTTAGGTAGGTATTTCCTAAAATTTTGAAAAACCGTTTAGTCAAAACATATTATTTTGATTACGAGTATTTCTATACAGTATTCAGTATTAGTACTATGCATTTTAAAAATGTAAAGATATATTTGATTATAATGTTACAATATAAGTTTATTACTATATTTTGAATTTAACGACGGTCCGCAAAAAACAAGCTCATGGTCCGGATGCGGACCGCCATTTGGTCACCCCTGCCCTAGAGAACCTACTGTCTTACTCGCTGAAGTCAAAGATGCAATTAAATTGCTATATAGAAATAAACCCCCAGGCATTGATTCAATACAGGTGAAATACTACATTTACTAGGTAACAAAGGATTACATATCATCCATTCTATCTGTGCCGCTGTTTGGAATTCAGGAAAATGTCCATCTCACTGGCTACCTCAATTTATCTCCCGCTACACAAAAAAGGAACTACTACCAGATGTGAAAACTACCGCACACTGTCACTAATAACATTATGCTAGTAAAATCTTGTTGCATATCATCAAAAATCGATTAAAAACCTATCTACATTAACAAATACCTCAGGAACAAGTGGGGTTTATAAAGGGTAAAGGTACACGGAAACAAATCCTGAACCTGAGACAACTCACTGAAAAATCTAGAGAATTTCAAGTACCTAGGATTATATGCTTCGTTAACTACAAAAAGGGGTTTGATTGTTAAGCTGGATGTGGTCCATTTTAATAGAAATGGACACACCAATGCACCTGGTGACACTTATTAAAAATTTGTACCAGTCCAATATAGTAACAGTACGACTAGATCAGAAGTTTTCAAACCAATTCAAGACCGAGAGAGGTGTTAGACAGAGATGCGTCTTAAATAAGTACATTCTGACTCTAATTGTAGGAAATATATGCTTTGATAATAAAATAATGGGTATTTTGTGAGTAATACATGCAATGAATATAAATATCTCGGATCTATAATATCTAAAGAAGGCACTACCAAAAGAGACATCGAAAACAGAACGCAGCAGGGAAAAAAGCGGTCAACATTCTAAACTCTCTACTATGCTCTAAAGATATTAGACAAGAAACAAAATTGACAATCTATCGAACCTTAGATAGATGACCAAAGAATGCTTTAAATTACATACCACAACAAAGAAGAAGAAGAAGAAGAAGGGGAAGGCCTTCAGTTGCCTAACCTCGCTTATATATATAGTTTGAATTTAGTTCTTGAACCTTAATATATAGTTTTTAGTGGATTCTCTTGGGCTTAGGTTCATAAAAAAAATTTAGTTTGATACTAAGACATTTTTATATATTTTTTCCGACGTTTCGGCATGAAATCCATGCCTTTTTCAAGAATATATATTGACTAAAAAAAACATTTTATGACAGACATAATACGGTTTAAAAAATAAACTTTTGACTTACCAAGCATGTAAATATTAGGTATTAACAATTAGACGTCACAATTAAAATAATATTAAAACATAGGACATACCCACTAAGTCACTACAAGTAAAATGTATTTTAAATCTAATGTGTTATTTATTGATGTTAGTTTATCGTTTAAACAATCAGTTATTTTAACATCATAGGCGTTCTGAGATTGACTTTTATGTGTTTTTAAATTAAGTTAAAATATATTTTGTTCAAATTTTTGACATCTTTTTTATCATTTACTGCGTTATTATTTTTTTTATTTCGATAGACTCTAGAAGCTCTCTCTTTTTCCTGTTGGATTCACTTTTTAGAATCTTGGTTTTCTCAAAATCAAATTTATGTTTTTTTTTTTCGTTTTCATGTTTTGTGAGGGCGGTTGAGTTTTTTTGTCATATTTGTGGGAACGTATTCTTGAATTAAGTAGCTGACTAGTTTGTCCAATATAAACTCCATCACAATTCGAGCAGGGAATTAGGGCGAGCGCCCACCAAAGTGGCGTGGCAGTGGCAAGCAGCAAGTAGCACGCGTCTAGCATAATGTAACCAATCCAAACGAATGGTTAGAATGAATGACGTCACTGTCATTTTGGTGTAAACTGAATCATTCGTTTTCATTGGTTACATTATGCTAGACGCGTGCTACTTGCTACTTGCCACTGCCACGCCACTTTGGTGGGCGCTCGCCCTAATATTTACATGCTTGGTAAGTCAAAAGTTTATTTTTTAAACCGTATGTTGTCTGTCATAAAATGTTTTTTTTTAGTCAATATATATTCTTGAAAAAGGCATGGATTTCCTGCCGAAACGTCGGAAAAAAATATATAAAAATGTCTTAAGTAGTATCAAACTAAATTTTTTTTATGAACCTAAGCCCAAGAGAATCCACTAATATATGTATATATATATATATATATATATATATATATATATATATATATATATATATATATATATATATTGAGTAAAAACTGTTGTGTAACTTTTAAGTTACAATTGTCCATAGTGAATAACATAATTTTAGGTTAAAGGTAGTTCACAGCTAGGACCTGAAAACTCGTATACTACAATTAAGTATTTTGGAACGCTGGTAGATGAGAATATTTGGACAATATGGTTTATCAAGCAAATCTGTATTTTACCCAAAAGAAGACCAAAAATTCTTTAAAAATGTGGACAAAAACGAAATAGAACAGTTTTTCGGTGTATGTTTGTTCGTCTCAGTGTATGGTTTACCCTAAACTAGAAAGCGTCTACTCGAATTCCAGTTATTGCAGAAACTATGAGTCGGAATCGCTGGGAAGAAATAAAACACAATATCCATTAATGACAATAGTCAGATAATTCCCGGTGATAAATCATACAAACCACTTTTAGAACCAGATATAGCAAATTTTGAAAAATTCTAATGACAGAAAAACTATCAGTGAATGAAAAAGTTATTTCTTTCAAAGGAAAACATAGTCTAAAGATGTATGTATGTATGTATGTATGTAAAAACAAACCAAAAAAGTGTGGCAATAAAGCGTTGCACCTATGCGATACCAACGGAATTGTATATAATTTTAAACTGTATACTGGTAATAAGATCCAGAATATTTAGCAAATGTTAGATCGGCGGAAATGTGGTTCTTTGATTGGCCACAATAATTCCAAGAAATGCTTACCATAAGATATATTTTGATAACTGGTTTACAAGTACAATTGTAAATTGAACTGGACAAGTTGGATATTCCCAACATATTGAAAGGATGTAATTTCTCTACCGACAAAGATATGAACAAGAAAGGAAGGGGAAGTTTCGAAGGACTTGTCTACAAGAAGGAAGGATTAACCCTTAGAGCAGTCAAATGGTACGACAACAAGCTGGGTCATTTACTTAGTTCGTTTGTAGCAACATATCCTACAAGTCAAGTTTAAATATGGGACAAAGTAAAGAAAGAAACCATTCTTGTAGAATGTCCTAACATTGTAACGTTTTACAATAAATGTATGGGCGGAGTGGATTTAATTGACTCGTTGATGGCTTTATATAGAACTAGGATTCGTTCTAATAAGTGGTACCTCTGCATTGTGTACCATATATTTCATTTAGCAGTTGTCAATGCTTGGTTACTTTATAGAAGAGACACCCAGTTACTTGGTATAAAAAAACGATGAAATGAGTGTTTTAGCTTTCAAAGCATCTATTGCCGCTTGTCATTGTGAAGAGGATAAAAAGAGGTTCAAGAAGAGGGGAAGGCCCAATCTATCTATAATAGAACAAAAAATAGAGCAGAAATGAAAAAGTGGACCTATCGCTTCTCTACCAGAGAAAAACATACGGAAAGACGGAATAGGCTACTGGTCTAAATTTTCAGAAAAGCGCGGTCTTTGCAAGAAGCAAGAAACCAGGCTGCCTAGGCGTGCCAAAAGTAAGATGTGAATAATGTAATGTAAATTTGTGATTTACACCTAATTCTAATTGCCTTGTGAACTTAATAACAACATAAAAATTAACATTTGTTCCCATTGTAGAGTCACAAGCCCTATTAAAACAAAGGAAATAAAGAATAAAAAAGTCTTCAAAAATGTTTTAATTTGATCCTATCCTAAAAGAATATTGGATATAATAGTAGAATTTTTTTTGCAGTTTTGCAGTATCTATATTTTATCAAGAAAATAAGCCCTAATAATAAATATGATTTTATTCTTAACAATTGAGCAAATAGTTTATGAAGATAAGTTGTAAAATTATTATCAAACTTACCAATAAGTAACATAGTATTCTCCGGCGTTAGCAACTACTTGACAAATAATAAATAAAAAGCCCAGTGCTAACATCGAACAAATCCCACCGCCTGCTTTTAAGTACAAATAATAAGTAGCTGCCTTAATGGTACCCTTCTCTTGCATTTCCTTCTCCAAAACTTGGTCCTCTTCATCTTCTATTGGCTCATCGTAAATTGACGCTTTTGATTTAATTGACTTCATTCGTTTGTCTTCTTCGGCCTCTTCGTTAAATTCTTCCATAACTTTGGCGAAATCTAAACCGCTTTTCTTTAGTTCTGTGTAGCTTCCAGTCATCTCCATCTTACCATCTTTCATGATAATGATCTTATCGGCGTTTCTTAAGTACTGTAGCTGATGTGTAACCAGAACACATATTTTGTTGGACAGGAACTGTTTGATGCATCTATCGTAGAGATGTTTTCCTACGTTAGCATCAACAGCGGATAGAGGATCATCTAGAAGATATATGTCGGCTTTTTTGTACACACATCTAGCCAAATTCACTCTAGCTTTTTGCCCTCCGCTCAGGGCTTTTCCTTTCTCTCCGACCAAAGTTTTATCTCCGTGGGGCAATAAGGCAAAATCTGATTTTAAGGCACACACTTCTACAACCATTTTGTATCTTTCTTCATCATATTCTTCACCGAACAAGATGTTTTGACGTACACTCGCGGCAAAAAGCCATGGCTCTTGGGAAGCATAAGAAACTTTTCCATCTATTTCTAATTTTCCTGACTTTACTGGTAATTCTTTTAGTATTAAGTTTACAATGCTGCTCTTGCCGCTACCAACTGGTCCAATAATCGCAAGCATTTTATTAGGAGGAACATTAAAGGTTATGTCACTTAGAGTATTTTCAGTAGACTGTTGTGACCACTTGGCAGATACTCCAGATAGCAACAATTTAGGCTCTTTGATTTTTTTATGTAATTCAATACCTGTACCGTTTCCATTAATACCGTTCTTTATGCCATCTAATCCGTCTAGTTTCGATGGATAGTTACCATTCATTTTATCATAATCTTCTTCACAGCCTTGTTCTCGTTCGTCAAACACCATTAACTTATGTATCCTATCTATAGTAACGTGCATTTCGGCTAACGCTGTTATACTCAGCGAAAATATGATCGTAATGATTGTTCTCATCTGGTTGTAGATGGCGGTAATAGCAAAAACTTTATCGGCTGATACATAATTACCGAGAAGGACGTAGCCAACGATGCTCACAAATATCGCAGTTCTAGACACAAATACTTCGAATGAATAGAGTATTCCTAGGAGGCAGGAGTGTGATCTGATTGCTCGCATTTCGGATCTGAAAAAAAAAAAACGTAAATAAACATTACTAAATATTATTCTTTCTAAATAAATACTACTAAATAATTATAAATAAATTTATATTGTAACAAACAAATGTTGATGCATATTTGACACAAATGCATATTTTAGATTCCCTTGCGGAGTAATTTATCAAGCTGTTTGCTTTGCAAGTTGTAGAAGGCACAGTGGTAAAAATTTGGATTCAGTTTCGCTAGGTAGGAAATCAATCGTATGATTTCTCTTGTTAAATGTTGAAATAGTCATACACCTTTCGCAGGCCCACAAATGCAAGATGTATATCTCTATTTTTTACTTATTTCTTTTCCAACAGTTGTTCCAGTGGTCTATGCATGAGTGTATACGTGGTCTATGCATGATCTTCCTGCCGTGAAGCCTGCCTGATCCTCCCCGATTTTGTTTGCTTTTTATCGCTTACTCTTTCTTTTCTCGCAGTATCTTTCCATATAATATTCCTATTGATGATATTACGCTTATTCCTCTGTAATTTTCTCATCGTTTTCTATCTCCTTTCTTAAACATAGATGTCATATATGGCTACGTCCATTCCTTTGGGAGCTGTTCTCCATTTATGGCTTTTGAAATATCCATTCCTTTTTTCTGTTCAGTGCCCACTCATTTATTTCTGGTATATTGCATTTTCTTCTGATCTCTTCACTCCTCATTCGATCCCTCAGTGTGTTTCCTGTAATTCTCCTCAGTAAACGCATCTCCGCTGTTTCTAGTAGTTGCTGAGTTTTGGAGGTATCCGGTCTTGTCTCTGAAGTGTATGTCATTATTGGTCTTATTGTTGCTTTGTAGGTTCTTGATTTCACGTCGGTATTAATGTGGGGATTGCGCCATATCGTGTTATTAAGACAACCTGCTATTTTATTAGCCTTTTGTACTTGATTTTTCACTTCCTTCTCCACATCTCCGTAGCTAGACAGTGTAATTCCTAGGTAATTTGTCTCCATTACTTGCTCAATGCTGATACCGTCGATTTCCAGTTTACATCTAATTGGTTCTTTACTGATTACAATTGTTTTAGTTTTCTGTGTAGATATCACCATATTAAAGTCCTTTGCCCTTGTGTTGAATCTATGGGTTAGTCTTTGTAGCTCGTCTTCATTGGATGCAATTAGGGCCGCATCATCTGCATAGCAGAGTATTCTGATTTCTTTGTTCCCCATTTTGTATCCTCTTCCTTTATTAATAGTATTGATGATTTCATCCATGATTAGATTGAATAGCGTTGGACTAAGCGAGTCTCCTAGTCTTATTCCATTGCCCATATCTATTGGATCTGTAAGCTGGTCATCTATTCTGACTTCCATATTGTTGTTCTGGTAAATGTTCTCTATTGTTTTTATAACATTTAGTGGAATTTCTCTATCGTAAAGAAGGTGAATTACATCTTTAAGCTTTAATTTATCGAACGCTTTCTTCAGGTCTATTAGACATATGAATGCTGGTCTGTTATACTCTAGTGCTTTCTCGGTAATCTGTTTTATGATTAATACTGCATCTGTGCACGATCTTCCTGTGCGAAAACCCAGCTGTTCATCCGCTAAGGCAATTCTCTGATTTATTTGGCCTTGCAATATTTTGGTTGTAAGCTTCAAAGTGGTGTTTAATAAGTTGATACCTCTGTAGTTTTCAGGTTGTTTTTTATCTCCTTTTTTGTATAGTAGGATAAGCTCGCTTTTCTTCCACTCTTCAGGTATTTTATTATGTTTGATGATTTTGTTAATTAGTGCTGTTAGCTGTTCTGTTAATGCTTCTCCACCATATTTCAATAATTCATTTGGAATTCCATCTTTACCTGCAGCTTCTCTGTTCTTCAGTTTCTCTAAAGTTTGTTTTACTTCTTGTACGGTTATCTCGACTTCCTTGTTTGTAATGATTTCTGGTGTTTCTGGTTCTAACATCATTTGCTGTTCATCATTATAAAGCTTCTTTAGGTATTCAATCCATGTGTCGTTATCTATGTGTTTCGGTTCGATTAAGTCTTTCATCTCTGATCTTTGGCCTCTTATGAAACGCCATATTTCCTTTTGTAGACCGTAAAAGTCGTGTTCCACTTCTTTTGAGAAGCGTTCCCAGTGTTCGTTTTTAATTTTTCTTACTAGTGCTATTGTTTCGTTTCTTATCTTTTTGTAATTGTTGTATTCTTGTGGTGTTTTGTTAGACATGTATCTTAAGTAAGCTTTCTTTTTTTCTTTGCATTTTTCTTTCACTTCTGCGCAGAACCACGGAGTTTTCCGCTTTTGAAAATATTTATTTTTAAGAATTTTCCTACAGCTTCTTTTGCTGAATCTAGGATGCTTGCTTTAATTTTCGCCCAGCTTTCTTCGATTCCATCACTTTCTACGATGTGCACGTTGTCGAGTTTATCTTTGACTCTCTTTTGGTATAGAAGTTTTGTTGATTCGTTCTTCAGACTCTCGACTTTTACCTTTGTGGTTTATTCTTCTTTTTTATTTTTATTGTTTTTATTGTTACATATGCGTGTAGTCATTCTGATTTTTCCAAGTATAAGCTTATGGTCGCTTCCTATTTCTGCAGATGTTAGTGCTCTTATGTCCAATACTTGAGAGGGATGTATTACCCTGTTCGTCAGGATGTAGTCTATCATTGACCTTTGACCTCTTGTATTTTCAAATGTGTATTTGTATTGTTCCTTATGAGGGAAAAAAGTGTTGTTGATGCGTAGTTCATTCGTACTACATAGGTCCGTGAGGAGATCTCCATTTTCATGTCTTTGTTATGACGCTGTTTTATCCCTGGTACGATGTCGTTGCCAACACGGGCATTAAAGTCGCCCGTAACGATCATAAATTCATAAAAGGTAGAAGAAGTATCGGACGACCACGCAAAAGATGGAGTGATAACCTCCAATAGAGGCATTAATCGACATTGAACAAGCATTTTGCTTATAAAAAAGAAGAAGAAGAAATATCCATTTCATTATCTGGCGTAATTTTTTGAGCCGTACTTTATAAGCTCAGGTGAGATGCCTCCAGGTCCCGGTGCTTTCTTATTTTTGATCGCTTTTATGGCCGTTCTCATTTCCCTATTTGTTATTTCTATTTCTTGTTGTGGCTTCGTCTCTGCTTCGTCGTCGCCTGTTTTCTTTTCCAATAAATTGTGGTCTTTGTTCTATTTCTTGTAATAGTCCTTCCATTCTTTGTCCTGTATATTTCTCAATTTAATTTTTTCTTTTGAGTTTCGTTTCAATCTTCTCAGTAATTTCTATGACTCCGAAGTTCTTGTACCTCCTATGTATGTTTCATTATTTAAGCAGGTTCTTTCCCATGCTTCATTCTTTTGTTGTGTTATTTGTTTTTCACTTCTCTATATTCTTCATAAACTTCATGCTTGTTTGTAGTCAACCATTTTCTGTATAGTTGCTTTTTTTCTTTAATTATTCTTTTTGTTTCATAATAGTACATTTATTTCATAATAGTACTGTTTATTTGTTATATGTTTTTTCTGTCCAAGAGCTTAGAATACTGCTTGTTTTAGACTCGAATTCTATTAATTTTTGGTCTAGACGTTGTTTGTATAGTTCTCTCATTAATTGTTCTTTGAGTAGTAGTTCTATATTGTATCATTTTTCTCTTTTAGTGTACAAATTAGAAATACAGAAGGAACTCATAGAAGCTACAAAAGCTCTTTCGTATAGAAAAAATAAAGTGTCCAATAAAATGGGAACAAGAATCATAGGAGACTTCACCACAACAAAAGGGCTCCTACAGGGTTGTTACACATCTTCAACCCTATTCAAAATATACTTATAGAAAGCCTTGACTACATGGAAAAGAAAATGAGAAGGCATGGGAGTACCGGTACGAAACGAATACCTACATACGATGAGCTTTGAAGACGATCAAGTAGTGATTGCACAAGACCAAGAACACCTGATATGTATGAAGAAGACACATAAGATCTACAGATTGACAGCAACGTAACAATCAAAGGAAAGGACACATATAAATACTTGGGGTTTATAATCACGAAAAAGGTGACAACAGAGGAAGAAATTAAGCAAAGGTTAGGACAAACAAGAACATCAAACCGACAACTTAACTCTAACTATAACTATGGTGGGATAGAGACCTATTATGCTAATTATATTCCTAGAGGTTCCTGAATCAACGAACCTAGATTCATCGGAACCATTGAATAGAACAGCAAAAAAAGACATGGAATGTCTAGCGCTGAGGTTTATCAGCCAAAAATTATTTTCTTCTTAATGTTGCAGCTGCTCCCAATATATCCTTGTATATATAAATATACTATAAATTGTAGCAAATTACGTAAGATGTCCTGAATCCTGTAGTTTTTTCTTTTTTCTTGTCACTGCTACCTTTTTTGTTTGTCGACTACTTTCTGGTTATTTCCTTCATTTCTAGCAGATTTTTATGCTTTTTCCACATAGCAATTTTAAGTATTGTTTGATTAGTGTCCATAACTTTACAACGTACAACAAGAATGAGTTCATCATCATCACTAATTTAAATTTCATAAATTTTATTTTGAGATTAAATTTCGTCTTTACAGTATTTTTTTTGATCTGGTGCTCTAATCAGAACTCCCTTTGCCGATTAGGGTGGTGCGATCTCAAAAAATCATTAGTTCTAGAAAGTCTAACCCTTTTTTAGTCATATATGTCAAATTTTGCGTGATACAGCCAATAGTATATGTTTGACAGCTGCATAAAGTTGCCATGTTTGGAAACATGACGTATATGGAGCAAAACGATTTTCGATATCTTATTAAACATTACGAAAAGAAAGACTTTCAGTAGATATTATTCTCGAAAGAAAGCAAGAATCACCGAGGTATCTTTAAAGTATAAAGGGACGCTTGCATAAAATCACAGATGCAGTAAGACCGTGACCCATCTAGTTATCGAGGTAATATTAGATCTTCACCCACTACATATAGATGTAAGAAGGAACCCTTTTGGATCTCAATGTTGTCTGCAGCCGA